TGAGCTCACATTTTTGCTCATCACCTCGTGCACCTTATCTTCGTGCTGCTTTGCTTGTTCCTGAAAAGAACAAACTATACTTCAGCGTAAGGAAGTCATCCCTAGAATTTACTGCTAGCTCATGTATACTCCACTTTTGCAACACAAACTCATTAAGCAGCGAGTCGGAATTGGCAATGGTTGCTAAAAGGTAGTCTGTGAAAAAGGGGTCACAAGAACAGGAGATGCCACGATTAAGAGCTTTCTCCCTCTTTGCAGCGCTGTATCTCTCCGTTGTGCTACCACCGGTCTTACAAAGGAATTTGAAGCGCTTTCTTCGGAGCTCACTGCTTTTTCTCCCTGCTCGCACTCCTCGTCACACATCCTGTCTAATATTTTAATAAACGCACACTAGTTTGCATTCAGCGTTGTGGGAGAAGAGAAGTTTGGTAATAAATGAGAAAATATAAGTTGGTTTGAAGCATAAGAGAGTAGGAGATTCGGAGATCTGGGGATTTGGCTGAAAAGAGCAGATATTTAAGGAATTAACCGAGAACTACGAAGATACTAGGGTCGTCTGAGGAAGGAGTAAGTTATGACCCTAACGTCAGGAATAAATATCTATCTAATCTTTCCAGCCGAATCCTGTATTATCCACCTTCTTATCTTTTAATCTCTCCAAACGTGATTATGAACGCGCGTGATGCTGACGTATGGTATGACTGAGGAACCATTTCCAGGTGATTCCTCATACCACTTAAATAGCAAATATAGGTTGTTTATGGCTTCTCACTCCGTAGACCTTCTCAGATACTCGGCTCGAGGTTGATCACAAGAGGCTCCTGGGGCAGGAGAAGTCTCTTGGGAGAATTAGGAAGCAGGGCTGGTAACGAGGTGGTTTTCGAGTTTCAAGCCACGTTCAGGCTTTTGAGGAAGAAGATCATAAGGGAACTTCGTAAAAGGTTGTATACCAAATTCCCACCCAAACACCTCTCCGGCACAACAAGGACGGTAAAACAATTTAGAGGGTTGACTGTTCAACCTCCTAAACATTTTTTTTTTCAGCCATTCAGGTAAATAATATAAATACTAACTAACGTCCATTCGCCAGGTCATTATTGGGTTAATCGTTTCCAAATGTTATTTTGGAAGTGATGAACTTTTTTCCCATCAGCAGTCGAGGAATGAGACAAACCGTACCTCAAGTCCATATTTCTTTGCCCAATTAAGCACTTGTTCCCTCTTCTGCTCTGGTGGCACACCGTGTTTTTTAACGATGGCGAAAAATTCTTTGCGAACGGTCTCGTTGGCATTGTCGAGGAATTCTGGTTTAGGTGGCCGTTGACATCCAGGAGGAGGCTGAGCGAAAACGATGCAGAACACTGCGCATGCAGCGAGCGTAACGAAGAGAACCGTGTTCATTCTGAACTCAACTAAACATAAATAAGAAGTTTTATTACAGTTATTTGCTAAAAAGAGAGCAATTAAGGGGAAAAACCGCTGGCTTCTGATAGACCTGTACGACCAGCATATAAGACGCATTTGAAGGCAAGATTCGGGATAAAATAGGTGTGGATAAGCGTTAAGTTATGAAGGTAGAGGTGGGAGGTGGTCTGAAAAGAGAAGGAAAGCAAACAAAAACACCGATTGAGCCCCTATTTCAGAACATTCCACCTTGGGATAGAGAAGAGGCGAATTGGACGAGTTTCACGAACCTAACTCTACTTGCTCCAGTGTCAATAACATTGGATCGCGCTGGGACCACTGCCTCAAATGCGCCCGCGCTTTTCAAGCAGCGCCACGTGGCAACCGACAGCGAAGGGTGGGGCTTGCGGACGAAGGTGTGAGTTGCGGGTTGGACGAGCTCCTTGCGCCTTTGTCGCGTACTTTCAAGCCGCAAAAGGGGCCCGACATCAACACTTGTCCACCTGCCTACTACCCCTGGATGGAACAGGCGAGCCCGCCTGATCGCGGAGCGTGCCTATAAGGACAACTACAGGAGCGCAGGATTGCACAAACACCTTAAAACCTTACACAAAACTATTATGATGATCTGGTCTGAACTTACTGAAAGGTGTGTAGAACAAGGCGGCCGCCTATTACCTGATTGGTTTAGGGGACGGATCTCAAACCTCAACCAGGAAATCAGGCGTGTCCTCTAAAGTCGGTTAAGTGGCACCAAATTCAGCTGGGAGGGCAAAAACGCTGATTTGTGCGCTGGATGTCCCGCGCAAACCATTGTCTAAAGTCGGATCACGTTTAAATTACATCACCATTTTGAACTGAATTGAAATGGGTGGCGCAGCCAGGAAACAGCGCTGAATATTTGCCGTCGTCCCTGCGAGGTATCGCGCCATAGCATGACTTCGATTTTATAAGTTTCAGTAGCTTTTCAAGAGGTGCTAGGCAGTCCAATTTTGACGGGACTTTCAAAAGTCCAAGCAAAAGGCTTTCGCGGCGTTCTTGAAGCTGTCTACAATTCCAAGCGGAGGTGGGCCGGTCATGTGGCTAGACTCACCGATGATCGCTGGACGAAGAGAGTGACTGACTGGTACCCAAGGGGAAAACAAGGCCCAGAGGCAGACCCCCACCCGATGGGCAGACCCTCTCGTGAAATGTACGGCCAGTTGTGGCGCAGAAGAGCCCGAAGCAGAGCGACCTGGAAGATGTGCGACCTGCGTTTCTGGCGTGCCCGGGACGAATAGCGGTCGAGAAGTAAGATGAAGAATGAAGGATAACCCCTTAGCCGTTGACCAATCCCGTCTTGGAGGGAGGGAAGGCTTGGTTGGCCCAGATGGAGCACAACTCAGATCCAATCGTGGGTCGAGAAGTGAGAAGTGATCGCAAAAGGATCATTACAATTGTGAGGGCAGAAAGAGACTCTGTGATGAAAAAGATTACCAAAAAATTTTTACGTGAAGGAAAAGGTGCTCTCAGAAAGTTGTTCAAGAGTAATGTAGACAGGTCACTGCAAGGCGGAGATGGCTCATTGAGCCAAATCCTCAAGTCGAAGCCCAGTTTATTGCAAGGGGAATGTGCACGGAGTCGCATGGAAAGATTTATATTCTCCAATTATGTTGCTGATCAATGGTGTATGAGTCATAATTTACAAAAAAGGTCTGCCGAACAAATGTTAACGGAGGCCATGATCGGTTTGTTCCTCTATAATCACCTGCATAAACAACTTGCTCATTTACTGAACTTCAAAATCAGAATGTGTCATTGCTTCACCATTTCCAGCAAGCCAATTGACCCACCATTCACCATAGACGTCATTATTAGGCCCACAGTGGCGCTGATCCGGATGATGACAGGTAAAGTGCAGCTTTTTATGCTTTATATTTCACATACCACCAATTGGTTCGTTTTCGTTCGTATAATCCGACCAAAGAAAGGTTCGTATAATCCGACCAAAGAAAGGCTACATCGTGAGTCATGAACTGGACTACAGTACCCTCAAAATAAGCCTGTGCACCCATTTAATCAGCTGTAATTCGATGGGGCAATCGTTCAGTGGTTTATACCTATTACTTCCTTAGTGACGAGGTGTGACGTGAACCTTTGTAAGATTGTTGGGCACGTATTTGGCGCTCGTCAAATTACCGAGAAGGTATGGCAAAAAAATTGATGTTTAATTGGTTAGCAAGTAAAACCGCGGCCCTGCGGAACTTCCACGTCAGCATTAGAATTTCTAATTCAGAGCTCCTGAGAAGGGCTAATGTGTTGTAAAAGCTTTGATGGCTTTGCCACGAGGCTGCTTTCTTAGCACAGATTGCTTTTAGTGATTCCTTATCGGAAACATATTAGACGACTAGCAATAGCAAAGCTATGGTATGTGGTCACATCACCATGAAGTGGGTAAGGTAACCAAACCCTAGACAAATCCCGTCCGAGTAAGCCGTGCGAACATTCAGGATGGATTTGCTAATATATCTGTCGAGGAGAAAGAAAGTTATGCATTGGGCTGCTGCAAATGGTGTATGGGCCATGCAGCATGCAAATGCCAGCAAGATTTCCAGTGAGCGTAGAATGGTGGCGTATTCCAATGAGGTATATATGGGCATTGAGTAGTCCATGCACTCCATAATGACTTATACTCCGCAATGTACTCAGTGGCTCTTTTACATTACTAGACTAGAAAGGTTGTAAGATTTCAATCGATTCGCTGCGTAAAATCTATTAGAAAATATGCATATGAATATAGGAACAAGTCATAAGGCTTACAAATGTGGAAAGAGCTTGAGCAGAGCAAGCTGTTATGAGCTGAGCTTCAGAAAATTCCAATATTATTCAGACAATGTGCCACAAAATTAGTGGCCAAAAACGACCAGTGAAGGGCTCTTCGTTTTATGCTAATCTAAACTGCATTATATTTTGTATTTCTTTTCATTTCTTCAACCTATTAGGATTTTTTCGTTTTACACACGAAAGACGAATGAATTTTGAAATTACAGATCGATCGTCGCGATCCAACACTGACGCATCCTCAACGTTATACGTCGGATTTCTGTGTAGTGTTCAAATGGTGTACTTCTGAGCATTGTCATAGGTCAAATTATTGAGAACCTCCCGAATGTGAAGATTTTTTAGCAGCTAATAGGACTAATCACTTGATAATGTCACAGAAGGAAGAGAAAAATTGCTGCGAGTTCAGTTCCTTACACTTCCAGAGCTTGCATAAATATCTGTGGCTCATGAAAGAAAAGCGGCGTGTCAGACGCTTGATTTGCGCGGTAAATCGTTGGCAGAAATCTCAAGATAAGCATTGCCTTCCATACATTATACGAAGTTTTTTGTAGGTAATGCTAACCTTTAGTTTTTCAAGTTTGTGACAACTTGTTCAAAAAGCGTGCAACAGACATTCCGACTTCTAACTTTCCTACACAGACGGTCTTCAGAGGTGTGTAGACCGATGGAATGATGAATACATTTTACTTTTTCTTTAGGTTAGTTTCTGCTGTAATCTTTGTATTTATTCAGATGCGTAGTCAATGCTTCCGTGCCGATTGGCTTTTTTCATGTTGACTACTGCAGAAAAGGTCTTTTAGACATTTTCTAACGAAGGCTGCAACAGGGTCAATCGTATGTTGTACAAGCACCAACGAGGGGTCTCGTATTTGGTCCACAAAGTGGGGGGGGAGGGACGGGGTCGCAACCAGGGTGAAAATCGTGTCGAGGACGTGGTCGCAGAAGTACGACCCCCCCCCTGAAATCGAGGTCTTGGCACGACCCCCTAAAACAGAGCATACGCAAAATCACAACAGCCGAGTGTATCGATCAACGGCCGATTCAACGGCAGCTGCGGCGCGATTTGTCCCTGGGTCAGATTTGCTGAAATCCCGAAAAAAACCGTCGAAATCTACACCCTCGATGAAAAGGTTCCATTCCTCCATTTCCAACCTTTTGAACAGCACGCGGTAGGGTTAGATAGAGCTAGATTTGCTACTATCAGGCAGTATTGGAATTGCTATGAAAGCCTTCCATTCGAAGAGATATAGTCTCTCAAAATCAGCGTCGAGGATGCTGAAATTTTCATGCGAGTTTTTGCCACTTAAAAGGCAATATCTCTCTAATTTTGCAAGATCTTAAAAAACGAAGACAGTTTTGGAAAGCGGAAGGTTTGCGCTTTCTAACAGTATGTTTAGCTTCCTTCTACATTCTCTAGTTGAGGAGATATTTGCGTCGAGGATCTATCGAGGATGATTCTCGGCCGCTCAAAAAGCCGCTCCCTTCTTCACCATTGCAAGTGTAATTCGTTGGCAACGCTCGAAATGTGTCTAGAATACATTCTTCCAACATAAGCAATAAGAAAAGGGGCAATCGTCATCATCCGATTTTGTCTGGGTATAGGCCATGCATCCGACCTCACTCGAAGTTGCAGAATCGATTGGAAGGTGTTATGATCATGACCAGTTGACAGAAGCTGCATTGTAGTAAACACATTTCGTAACTCCTACAACCTGAAGAACAACTTCATTTGCCCACGGTTGTCGTTTTTGCGACAGGGTCCCTAACAACAGTGTCATTCTCAGCGAGGTATTAAGGGAGAAGGAGCGAGCGATAGGCAGAGGAGGTGCCTTTGCAGCGCGTGCGCACATGTGGCCTCTTCTTTGCGGGGATGCACTTTCATTCTTTGTACTGCCTTTCAAATACGTCCTTCTCATGAAGGTAGAGGAATGGAGCGACTGAACCTGCAAAATATTTATATCATGTTTCACATATCTTCGTTTTCTGCTGCGCTACACCCTCTTACTCCTATCTGCACCACGATGCCACTGATGTTACTGACCCCCACGAGTACGACCCCCCATGACCCAGCCTGACAAGTACGACCCCCCTGTCGAGGATTTCCTCGACCGATATTCACCCTGGTCGCACTGTGATGATCAGCAGTGGAAATCGATATCGCCTTTGAAGTGCAT